GATAAAGAATTTGCAATTCTAACTACTTTAAGAGGATGACTTGGATTAATTAAATAGCTAGATTGGAGGTCTTCCCTCTAAGTGTGACTTCATATAAATATAATCAAATATCCACACATTTTATGATGAATATGGCAATCCAACCATTGTATTGATAAGTATAATTGGGGATTCAGGCTTGGTATAAAGATATTATAATAATTTTGAGGAATATAATAAATGGTGGAAAAGTCTGGTGAACTAGCTATGAAATCACAAAGGAATGGCTAGATTAACCCTAGATGAAAGAATGTGCTACTCCCAATCTAAGCTTATCTTCAAATAAGAAGAAATATTAAAAACTCCCCATCGAGAGTGAACCTCAAGATATCAAGGATCATTCACAATGATATATCATTCTACATTTAAAATATAAATATTCTAAATTATTGAAAAAAGCAAGTTAAAATAAGACCAGAATGCAAATTTCAATATTTATAATTAATCCAAAACATGAACTCTCTTTATTGAAAATGAGTATTAGATTACTATAATTTTATGAAAAATGTATTTCAATATGTTTAATTAAACTCTTTAGGGGAATGTTTAAGGAAGGCTTATTAATATCATCATGCATTATATTACTACCTAAAAACTATTGAATGAAGTACATTTAATAAAGACTATGTCTGTTCTTATGGTAAATTTCGATTGAAGATTATTTAGGAGATTGCTTAATTTCCTTAATGAGAGATCAAGAAGCTCTGAATGCATATGATACGGCTTTAATCAAAGATCCTAATTACTCAGAGGCAATGGCAAGAGAAGGTATCAATCATAAATTAAATGGTTATGAAAATAAAGAAATATCTGATAATAATATTGTTTTAGGAGAATTTGATAAAGCATAGATATATATATAAAAACCATATGACCTATTTAATCATTTAGATTAATTTCTTTTATTTATTGGAGTAGCAATCTTGGTAATGGAAGTTGTCATTATTTGGCTTTGTTGATTTTATTATAAGTAACAGAGGATGATGCTAGGGTGGAAAGATAGATCATCACATATCATCACTTTTTTAATGAGAGTTTGCCTTCTTCAATTCGTAGGAAACTACAGGATCAACAGGAAGAGTCTCCCATCATATTCCTACTAAAATTCAAACTTTCTTCTATTCCTTTTATATACTGATAGATTATTATGCTTTAAGTTAAGTAAATGTCTGCATTAAGATCAATATCATAAACTTCTAACTTCTCACCAGAGACAAGAAAAACATTTAAGCAAAATGCAAGCAAAACTTCCGATATCAAGTAGTAGTTGTAAGGTCCTTACCTAGCAAGCACAAAATATTTATCCTTATACTCAATTCAAAGATTGGATAGGTGCTCTCTTACGGCTTTATCAGCTCACCTCTAAACAACCATGGGTTCTTCAAATAAACTTTACATCAGAAGAAATATGTTAATATTATTATTTTATATCAAATATAATCTAATTAATCTATTATAATGACTCTATACATTTGAAATAGCATATATGTACCATCCACTAATGAAGAAGAAACCAACTTGATCCATGTTAATATGTATTTATGATATGACAATAGGTTGGATAGATCTTACAAAGACTAGAAGAATGAATTTATCTTTATAATATTTGGAATATTTTTAGAAATTCTTACTCAGAGTAAACATAACTGAGCATAGGATATTTATTTTAAAAGGATAAAATTATCTAATTAACTGAATTCCTAAAAACTGTACTTTGAAATAATTTGACTAATTTTGGATATTTCTATCTCAAGCCTTATTTTGATTATGCAACATCCTTGATGAAATATATAATTAGGGTTAATCAGATTGTCTTTTGTGTTAGCTTCCAATTTGTATAAGGTTTTAGTGGCAGTTTGAGAGTTGATAATATAATTAAAAATAGTGGATTTTGGAATAAAATTAACAATCTGATTCAGTTGAATCCAAAAAATAATATTTTATGTTTTTCTTTATTAAGTGAAATGAAAAATTATATAAAATAAGATTTAGATTAATAATTGTTTTTGCATTCGAAACTCAGAATTATAGCCATAAGTTAACTAACATTTTGCATGATTGAAATAGCATTTTAATAATTTTTATTAACCAATACAAACTTAGATTATAATCGATAAGAAATTAGTTATTCCATAATAAGCTGATTGCCTTACCTTGCATTATTGTTGTTCACAAAATAATTACATAACAATAAGTAATAAATAAATTCTCTAGATTAACTGATCCAAATCAAAAAGCAAATTACATGTTATTTATGAACCAAGAACTTTTCAATTGGAGTTTATTAAATAATAAGTCATTTGGAATATTTGAACTTTGAAATAAATATTGGAAGTATCATTTCTAGGAATGAGACTACTCTCTTATCAATTGATCTTTTCTCCAAATTTCCCATTAATGTTCGAGGATTTCACTTAAAAGAAAGGATCCTGATTCACTCTTTTACAAATGCTACCTACATTACTCTATTTGCTCGACTCATTATAGAGATTGAATTGTAATTAAATTAAGATTGAAGTTTCATTAAGTTAACATAAGGTCCACTCATCTCGATTTTAATTTTTAATCACATTAGTAACAAGAATTTTTGTTGAACTATTCTTCACATTTAAACTAGTTATAAGGAGGAGATACATCATCATGATTATGTCATAGTTCTTAGTTCTATGCTTCCCTTCACCTACTAAGCAGATTATATATCCAAAAACTAGTAGGATAAGTGAAGTCAGTTTACCCCTATTCTAGTTGAAACAAGTTTTTATGAATTATTTATAATTGGTTGAAACATCAATAATAAGAACCTATTGTATATAATAGCGAGTCATATATGGATAAATCAAAAGGAAAACATAAAAATATGGATCGGAACAAGAGTATTTGATACTACAAGTTTGCTTATGAGAGAATAGTAAATACCCAATAATATTCGAATTAAGGACTATTTAGAGGAGATTTTAAAATTGAAATTTCAAGATCAATAAGTATTTTCAGAGCCCAGTAATTCAGAGAATATGATGAAAAGCTTAAGAAGAAGGTTATTGGCATATAAGAAATTAAAGAACTAAGTAAGGTTTGATCTGAAACAAAATAGAGAAGAATATGACACTGCTTGGTATTGAAGAGCGGGAAAATAATAACTTCGTCTAGCATAAACTTTTAATCAAGGTGGCTTTTTCTTACAAGAATAGTTTTCATCATAAAAACTTTGCTGCGAACCTAATCAAATTTTCATCCAATAAGATAAGATAAGTTTGACTTTTCATCAGAAAATACAAATTATTCTTCATTTTCAAATTTTATTAAACCATCAAATAAAATCAACTGATAATTTAATTTATGAAACCTTACAAAGAATGATTAAAAGTACATCCAAAACGATTATTACATAATTATTGAATTCTAATACCTTTAGGTTTTTTAGTTGATGAAACATAATCGGAAACCTAGCTTCAGGATTAATGATACTCCTGAGATTGAAGAAAAAAAGTGAATCAGTTTTTGATATTCATTCAATTTAGTAAATCTAAGTATCAAAATTTCGAAGAAAAATTGATGAATCCAAAAAACTATCATTCTCCATCTCGATGCTTTTTTCATAAAATTTAACATCAATTGAAATTGAATATATAGTACACAATTTGAACTTACTAATCAACTGATTTTAATAAGCATAACAAAAAATTCATACATTATTTGAGTGAAATCATATTCTCCGTTTCTAAATCAAAGAAATGGAATAATGAATCTGAGAATAGATAAATTTAATTCTTAGAAGGGTTATTAACAATAAAATTAAAATATGAAACTCTAAATCATTTTATAAAATTTAATATAATATTCTAATTGGCATTTTAGGATTAAGCACATATAAGATAATATAATTAACTATAATTAAATTTGGAAGTATTTTATTATGAGTACTTTGAATACGCTCTTTCTCTATTATATGTCATGGATATTTTAAAAAATAACATAAATTAAATGTCACTATGTGATAATTTTTATTAGAATTAAAATTTATGGGTTTAAATAAGAAAGAAATTCTCAGAATATTTTGTATTTAACGCTCTAATTCTATTGGCATAAGTGCATAATTTAAATTCTCGAAACATTTTGTATTCATATTAATTAATATTTAATGAACTCAATTGCCTGTTATAATGGTAATTATCAAAATCCAGCCTAATTCTTCTGCAATAACCCATTTTGTTAGAAAGATAGATTGTTTTGGGAATGTTGTATAAATGTAAAACATTCTTCACTTGCAATAAATGTTCAGGAAATATCAGCATTCAGTAATTATGTCGAGATTATGAAAAAGGATTTTTAGGATTTGAAGTAGCAGATAAATCTACAATTAGAATAATTAATAATTGCATTCAATACAATTGGGGATGTAATTGGTAATTACGATTCACATTCCTATAAAAATGTGTCTCTAGCCATTTCTAAGCAATTAAGTAATGGAATAAATGCTNTTAAGAAGAAGGTTATTGGCATATAAGAAATTAAAGAACTAAGTAAGGTTTGATCTGAAACAAAATAGAGAAGAATATGACACTGCTTGGTATTGAAGAGCGGGAAAATAATAACTTCGTCTAGCATAAACTTTTAATCAAGGTGGCTTTTTCTTACAAGAATAGTTTTCATCATAAAAACTTTGCTGCGAACCTAATCAAATTTTCATCCAATAAGATAAGATAAGTTTGACTTTTCATCAGAAAATACAAATTATTCTTCATTTTCAAATTTTATTAAACCATCAAATAAAATCAACTGATAATTTAATTTATGAAACCTTACAAAGAATGATTAAAAGTACATCCAAAACGATTATTACATAATTATTGAATTCTAATACCTTTAGGTTTTTTAGTTGATGAAACATAATCGGAAACCTAGCTTCAGGATTAATGATACTCCTGAGATTGAAGAAAAAAAGTGAATCAGTTTTTGATATTCATTCAATTTAGTAAATCTAAGTATCAAAATTTCGAAGAAAAATTGATGAATCCAAAAAACTATCATTCTCCATCTCGATGCTTTTTTCATAAAATTTAACATCAATTGAAATTGAATATATAGTACACAATTTGAACTTACTAATCAACTGATTTTAATAAGCATAACAAAAAATTCATACATTATTTGAGTGAAATCATATTCTCCGTTTCTAAATCAAAGAAATGGAATAATGAATCTGAGAATAGATAAATTTAATTCTTAGAAGGGTTATTAACAATAAAATTAAAATATGAAACTCTAAATCATTTTATAAAATTTAATATAATATTCTAATTGGCATTTTAGGATTAAGCACATATAAGATAATATAATTAACTATAATTAAATTTGGAAGTATTTTATTATGAGTACTTTGAATACGCTCTTTCTCTATTATATGTCATGGATATTTTAAAAAATAACATAAATTAAATGTCACTATGTGATAATTTTTATTAGAATTAAAATTTATGGGTTTAAATAAGAAAGAAATTCTCAGAATATTTTGTATTTAACGCTCTAATTCTATTGGCATAAGTGCATAATTTAAATTCTCGAAACATTTTGTATTCATATTAATTAATATTTAATGAACTCAATTGCCTGTTATAATGGTAATTATCAAAATCCAGCCTAATTCTTCTGCAATAACCCATTTTGTTAGAAAGATAGATTGTTTTGGGAATGTTGTATAAATGTAAAACATTCTTCACTTGCAATAAATGTTCAGGAAATATCAGCATTCAGTAATTATGTCGAGATTATGAAAAAGGATTTTTAGGATTTGAAGTAGCAGATAAATCTACAATTAGAATAATTAATAATTGCATTCAATACAATTGGGGATGTAATTGGTAATTACGATTCACATTCCTATAAAAATGTGTCTCTAGCCATTTCTAAGCAATTAAGTAATGGAATAAATGCTATAATTCATTTTAAAGATAATGAAATAAAATTAAAGAAATTATAGTAAGAAAATCTTGATGTATTAACCAAAATTGTGGAGAGTTTGCAATTACATGATGAAAGCTCTCCAGAGAAATCATAAATTATATATGAGGTATTGAATGAAGCTTAAATTAAGAAGAGCATTGTTACGAAATGGATTTTAATAAAGATGCATCATTTTTAGCTGCAGGATTTATATCTGGCAGTATAAAGGTGTATAACTTTAATTAAGAAAGGTTGTAATTAATGCAGGAGATTAAAAAACATCATAATTCAGTGTATTGCGTAATATTTTCTAAGAAATCGAATTAATTTCTCTCAGCAGGTAAAGATGAAAAATTTCTGTATGGGAACTAGATGAGAAAGGAAATTGGCTCTTGAAGATAAATTTATAGGATGGTTTTGATTGGATTTTTAGTTTAATTACTAATGTTAATGAAGATATGATTATCTCTGGAGATGATTAAGGAGAAATCAAATTTTGGAAAATTGATAACTGTAAATGCTTTTATACTTTAAAACAGCATAAAGGCAGAGTATTGAGTTTAAGCTTAAATTAAGAATAAAATTAATTAATTTCTTGTGCAGCTGATAGATAAGTCTTAGTGAGTTAATTTTAAAATATGCATACATGGATGGTTATTTAAACACTTTTATTAGATTGGATTCCAAGAAGATTATGTTTTATAAATGATATTACATTTACTATTTAATGTGAAAATCAGTAATATCTTTATATTTATGAACTATTTGAAAATGAAAAAGAATATAAGAAAACAAAAGTTGTAGATGTTAAAGGAAATTAAGGTTGTTACTTTTGTTTTCCTTAAAAATTTGTATAATCAAAATAAATTTTAATGAGCAAGAATAGTGATTAAGTAAACTTCATAAGAAGGAATAATTAAAACCAAATTTAATGTTATTATTCAATTAATTTTGGAACAGGTTAACTTTGGGGAACTATCAGTAATGATGGAAAATATTTCGCAATTTGGGATAATTAATCTTGTCAAATTTAAATTAGAAAATATATTGAATGACTGTTGTTTTTAAATATTTTATAGTTTGATGAGTTATAATTCTAAAAATGCTATATTGTATTATGAAATGATAATGTTGAACAATTTTCTCATTTTACCGTTAGAATAATCTTTGAATATTCTAAGTTAAGAATCCATTCACACACTTAGATATGTATCAGCTACATATCCCTTATTTTACCATTTAAGTAAAATAATTTTAAATAATATTACCTCAAATGTATTATATATATTTGCATTTATTAGTTTTAATGAATTTTAAATTAATATATTTATTACTAAAATAAATATGTATTAGTAGGAATAACAACAAATTTCAATTTTTAATAGCAATTTGTTCATTTTTGTAATTGAAACTTAAACAGGATTCATAATGTTTTAAAGCCAACTTCGATTGCAACCTCAAAATTTATAAAAGAGCACTTTCAAAATTATACAATTTTACAAGGCACTTCTAAATAATATACTTTGGCAAACTATTCACAATATCCTTATAAAAATATAAGTGCATGGCTATTCTTAGCCATCATTTAGAGATTGAAATTTAGCTGTATTGTACTGGATAGTCTACCAGAAATATATTAAAAATAAAGAGATAACTAGTATTTTTAGCCAAAAGCTAAATAAATAAGTAAGAATCAGGACTAATTTTCAAACCCGTAACATAAATATATAAGTTATATTTCTAAATAATAAAATAAATACTTTATTTTAATAGACATCTATTACTAAAAATAAAACTGAAGGATAACACCAAATTCTTACCAGAAATTAGTAAGTAACATTTTAACTTTTTTTTTTTTATTATAATCGAATAATTATTATGATCAAAATGGTCTGATTCTAAATTAATAATAGTTCACTCAACATGAAAGAATGCTGCTTTTTTTTGCTGTGGAGATTTTTCTCTTCCATTTTGCTTAAATAGAGGAACATAAGTTTATCGAACTATTTGTTCAAGACAGTTTTGACCTAAAGATCTTGACAAAGGAGTCGATATTAAATTGAATGATATAGGAATGATATCTCTTCTCATTAAGCCTATAATAATATTACATGATATCAATTCTAGTAAATAGAACAATTTTAATTGAATTGGAAAATAATGAATGTCCTCAATCAACTTCTAACATTAGTAATGAATTTAATATTCAACATGTCATCATAATTAAGTATTTGACGAAGAAGTTTAAAAATGATTAAGTTGATAAAATTATTCATCCTTCAACTGATTTGAATAAAAAGATCATGACGAATAAGTACGGCCTAGAAATGAACTTATTTGACGAACAGTTTGGAATCTATAAACCATGATAATATCAACGTTTAAGTGATCTTTGCATCATCAAGGATTTAATTGAAAGCATATTCATTATTAAAAAGAGATAATGAATATTTGGCAAAGGAGTTTGATTTTTAATTTAGATGACTCTTTACCACTTTCCCCTATGCTAAAAGAATATCAAGTCAAGATTTCGGAAACTACTTCTTTTCTCAAAGTTCTTTTCTAGTTGCTAATTAATATTTTTCTAAAGACATTTAGCTCAAATTTTGTTAATCTCAAATCTAGTTACCTTTGATTTCTACTAGTTCTATATCTTATTTTCATTTCATATGGTACTCCTCAAACTATCAAATTGCTGGTGTAATATTTTGAAAGCTCTTTTCAATTATTTATACCTTATTTTTTCTTCCCTAAATTAGAGTGATTCTGATCTTTCTTCTATGCGCTTTTTTCAAAAAAGTTATCAAATTGTTGTTTTTAATCTAAAATTCAACTTATTTAGGATTTCTATTTAATCAGTTATTTTAGGATTTAAATCAATTCAACCTTCTTAGCATTTCTTATAATTAATAAGCTTACTATCTTTATTAACCTTAGCTAAATATTCAAGCTATAGATGACTTGTCCTTATTGAATTTAGTTTTCTTTTAGCAGGATAATTTTGT